TATCATCTGCTTGTATGCATCCTCTCTAGATAACTTGATTCATTCTTTTAGGAAGTTTTTCCTTCTCACATTCAATTTGGCAAGTGTCTTTCTGTAACTTAAACTGTCTATTCTGTGTTCTACACTCTGGAATAAAAAGAGACCTTGATTTGCTTCCATATGAAACTTGATTTTAAAAGTTCCAACAGTTTTATTCTGCTTCTAATATGTAAATTTCCAGGAAGACCAGACAATTTCTATATGAACAATCTTCTAAAAGATAAACAAGTTGTGCAGTAGCCAAATTTGTTGTTGTTGTAGTGAAAATGAGGCTTAGCTGCTTGCAGAAATAATCACTTCTGTTTGATTTATCTCTTTAGGTTTAAAACATACTTGTTATCTTGTTTTTAGATGATATACATTTTAATAAATATTAAAATGTATATCATCTAAATATTTTAGATTTATACTTGTATTGGTAATTAATGCACTTCTATAGCAGTGTATATCATATTTTTATGTGTTATTTTATTCTGACTATTTTACGGTAGATCTTTGGTACACCAACTGAGGGCCATAGTTATCCTTATACTCTGTGCTTCCTGCTGGCAATTGATGTTCAGCACAAGCATCACTCAGGTGATGGAAATAAAATACATAATAAAACAAGGGAAGATTACTGGAAAGAATTTCCCTCAGGCAATCATGCAAGACAGATATTTAGAACTGAACTTATGCATGAATAAGGATAGTGGATGAACCTTCTTTGGGACTTAATACCACCCTTTCACGTATTTGAAGAATACCATCATATTTCTCTTCAAGCAAACATTTCCAATTCTTTATCAGCATTGGTTTCTAAGCCTTTTGTGAGCCAGTGTTTCCATTTTTTTTCCTGAAGTTGTCAAGATCTTCAACCTTGACATGGGTGGAAAGCATTTAACTGTGCTATTGTGAAGAGCCCTAGGCTTTCCATATTGATTGATATCAACTACCTTGTGCTTTTCTCCATCCTTCAAAAAAAGAAAATGGCAAGCAAGGGAACTGATAATTCTGCAAAGCAGTTGATTCCTTTTTCCCATCTTTTCCCGAATTATTCTGAAGGATGATATAGCCTATATGTGCTGTGTGTGTGTGTGTTTCTCCAGTTATTGATTGTTCCAGTAAATTTCATATAATTATGAATGGTGAAATGGTAAGATACGATGGAACCACAAAAACTACACACAGGTCACCCATCTTTCTTGTTATGAATAAAGAAATAAGCTCACTGTCGGAACTTCCGGTTTGTCGGCTTCGCGAGCGGCAGGGATTTGCGACTCTCTGCGATCCCTGCCGCGCTAGCCGTTTTTGGTGCTCCGATCCGGACGGGTTCGGAGCCAGGCTACCCTGCAGGGGTAGCTGAAGATAGGGGGGATCCGGAGAGGGGTTTGGGGGTGTTGCAGACCCCCTCCCCGGCCGCCAGAACCCCCTTTTCCCAAGACGGTGCAGCGGCGGTCCGCAATGGCCGCCACAAAGAAGCCGGCAGCTGGGTAAGAATGCGCAGGAGGAAGAGGAGAAAGCCTTTGAGAGTGAAAGTTTTCTTGGTTGATCCAGGACTCTAAGATACATTTAATATAATTCCTGGAAATTATGGCTTTTTGGATGATTCTTTCCACAAGAGAAAATAAGCGGCAATTTTGAGGTGCTGAAAGGAAAGTTTATTCTTCCTCCCGACGGAATTAATAAGTGGATATTGAGAAACCTGTTTTTTTTTCAGGTAAAACTAGCTTTATGTGATAAGTCAGAAGGGAGAGGACAAAAAAGATATTCATTTGGTCTGATGTTGTTGGAGGAGATGCCTTAAGGATTTGAAGACAGAAATATAATTTCAATAAGGCTTTAAAATACAGATTTGGATTTTCTTTTTTCTTTTGTCTGATACTACCCCTGGAAGAGAAAGGGAGAACTTTGTCTTGGCTTGGATTGATTGAGAACTTTGGGATTGTTCTATCTTTTTCTTGAAATATCTTGGTTGGTGTAAGAAGAAAGAGGGAAAAAAGAAAAGAAAAGATTTATAATGGCTTTTTCTTTTGAGGATCTGAGGGAAGAATATGAGCAAACAAAAACAGAAGGTAAAGATGGTATGGAAAAAGCCTTCCTTTTTTTAGAAATGGCGCTGGTTAACTATCAACAGACAATACAACAGATTGATGCAGAAGAACAACAAGAAGAAGAAGACGAAGAAGCCATCTTTAATGAATTTCAAAATTTAACTAAGAAAGAAGGAAGGAAGAAAGCGAGGAAAATGAAGGACTTAAGATTTAAAAAAACATTCAAGAAAGAGAAAAATAAGATGCAAAATAAATATAATGATAGTAAACAAAAGAAAAAGGGAACACAACAGAGAAGGGATGCTAGCAAGGCAGAGGCTAGAAGAAGGGGGGGTAGGAAGATTTGGTGGGGGAAGAAAGAAAGGGGAAAGGTGGAGAAAAGCCACAAAGTTTTGAAATTAGATGGGAAAAGAGGAATTTTTTTTAGGGACAAAGGGTAAAGTACAATTTCTTTAAAAAAGATTTTGCAAGGTACATAAGATGGTATTGTAACACTTGTATTAGAAATAGAAAATTAGAATGGCTTAAGAGTTAATAAGAAATTAAAATGTTGAAATGTTTAATAATGATTGATTTTAAAATTTAATAAAATATTAAAGGGAATGTTTAGAATATTGAGTTTTAATTAAAGAGTTTAATATGACTATGGTATTGATATTATTATAAAACTATTATAGTAGCATTTGTTTTTTGAAAAGGCAATGGGAAAGCTATAAGATTTAATATTTAGATTTATTATTTAACTATGTATTCAATCATTTTGGATTTATTACTCTGTTTTTATTATTATTAAAAAAAAAATTAGTAGATAGAATGTACCAAGCAGAATTAGATTGAGTATTAGGTGTTATTTTAAATGTTAATCTAATTAATTTAGGGGGAGGATAGAAAGGCATCATACTCTGAGTAGTGATTTCAGGAGAAATTCTTTTTCTTTTTATTATAAGGAATGAGATAGAGGGATAATAAAGAATGGGCAAAAGATACAAATATAATGATTTAAATTAAGATGGATTAAATAAGATAGAATTAAGAAGAGTGAAATGTGTGGAGAAGTTTTTATAGAAGATATAGAATGGTAAATAAAATAGGTAATGATATGTAAGATGAGCATGAATATAATTGAAGCCCATGTAAAGAGAGGTACCTGGAGCCAAGTTACTTTCCTAAAAGATTTTTTATATGTTTGTTTGTTGTGTGTTTATGTTGTTGGAAGAATTAATAAAACCTTGTAAAAATACAGAATGAGAATAATGGTAACCAAGTCAGAAAGAAATAGATGAAATAATAATAGTGAAATTGAATAAGAGTAAAGAGAAGTAAAGAGAAATTGGATAAGAGGTAATTTTATGCTCATATGGAAATGGCTTAAAATAGAATTATATTGTATAAAATAAGGTTTTATCTGACTTGTAAAACTTATAATGGAAAAAGGTTCAAGTATGTAATGGTTGATGATGATTTGTTTGTTTTTGAAATTAATAAAATTTGTTTAATAAAAAAAAAAAAAGAAATAAGCTCATTGTCCATGTTAACATTTAAAAGAAAAAATGAAGGGCCTTGAAATTTAGGAAAAAATGGACAATGCCAATTATGGATAATGATTTCTTAACATTTGGAGTAAGAAGTAGCAAGAACGGATCTAAACAGAATTTCTACAGTATTAGTTATTTTTTTTATATTGAACACAATGCAGTATTAATAAATTCCAATCAATTCTATCTTCCATAAAATTGGACCTTTGATACTCTATGGAAATAGAATTGAGAAAATTATTGGATAAGCAGATACACAGGAAACTGTCTCCATATTACAAATTTTGCATGAGTTGAAACAATTCTATTTCTCCATTGAGTATGCCATTAAAAATAGCCCTGTATGGCACTGGTGAATGATATATTAACTCTCCTGCAACATATTTAGGCACTTTTATTATCTTTGTTTGAAAACTTCTTCAGACAATTTGTTAAATTAATCATAGCACCTATAGTCTGCCTGCATTTTCTTAATTGGCAACCATAGAAAAAGGGAAAAAATAAAAATAAAAGCTTGTGTCTTCCAGATATAAGAAAGATTCTAGAACACTACTTTCACAGGTGATGTTACATTCAGCCCATTCCAAAAACATTCCTATATGCAAGCCCATTGACAACATGGATACAATTTTCAGTATTTCACAAATGGGTATTAACAGCTAGTTCAAAGATCATACATAAGTAAATGCATACAGTATACAATTGCTAAGTAATCAATTGTATACTAACTTGATATCAATTTGCAAATATGATTGTGGACCATTCATGCTTTTTTACTATCACTTTTGTATACATTTCTAATATATACCTAAACATTCAAGTGAAGAGCCACTTAAAGCTACCAAGAAAAGGGCAAGCAGATTGCACAGCAACTCATGAAAACAGAAACATTTCTATTTTTAAGGGCAGATTAGTCACATTGTGGAGAGAAAGTTAGAACTTCATGATAACAGAAACTAGAATGTTAGTTCAGTTCATACAAGCAGCTGGTCCCTAAGTAAAGATAATAAAACTCTGGATTTCTGAAGACTTAAACTGTAATATAGATATTGCCACTTCAGTCAATATAGATATTGCCACTTCAGTCAAGTGTTTCTTTCCATCTATGGGGGATTTTAAAAGATTCACCCATTCAATTTTGTAGCTCACAGATCCACGAACCAAGAAATAGTTCTTTAATTATGTGATGAAATGCATTATAAATTTGAACGAGTTATTCTTGCAAAAAGTTGGTCTATATGAATGAAATGGAGTCGAGATTACAAAAGAAAAAGAAGACTTCTTTGGAATATTTTTTTTTATCTTTTTAAAAATACATCTGGGTCTTATTTGAAAGCATCACTGAGCATAGATTATAGGAACAGAGAAGGGGAGAAGGGAACATAATTCTTACCTTTATTCTTACAGTCACAGTAGCAAGGCCTGGAGGCATAGCTCCTCCGACATCGAAGGCTTCCACTAAAAAAGTGAATGTTGCTTCTGTGCCAGAAAAGGACTCGAAATCCAAGGACTTTTTAAGCGACAGTTCTCCTGTAAATTTGTTCAGTGCAAAAAACTGGAGTGATTCCTGACTTCGTATTCCATAGGTAATATTGGAACCAAGGTCAACGTCCTTAGCCTTGAGGAGGAAATGAAGAACAGGGTTTAGGGTTTACGAATTTCAACATTAAAACATGACATTCATTCCTCATTTTTTTGCAACATTGATTCTATGCATGATACACACGTGCGCACATGTGCGTGCGTGCACACAAACACACACAAACACCTTTCCAAAATTATCCCCCTCAAACCCATTGATCTATAGGAGTGCATCAAACCTATGTATCAAGAATGAGGATTATCTTCAGGAGCTGGATGTTATCACATGATGTTGTGTGATGGCAGAATTGCTAATAAATAAAAACACCAATAGTATAAAAATGTCTGGATTCTCATCCAATTATCACATCTCATGAAATTTGGTAGTTTCAAGAGACTGACTGTTTTCTTAAAAAATGGAGGGATGTTTTGGTAGCCACAAATGCTCCATTGTTAATGCAAGCTCTAGTTATGGTTAACGTTTTCCTTTCATTTTTTAAAGAATTGTTTTGAAGCCATAAACATATCAAATTGTATTATACTGGTGTCAAAAGAGGAATTTAAATAGCGTCTACAGATTGTTAAAATTTACAAAAGATAATAATATAGCTGAGAGCCAATTTGATGTGGTGGTTAAACCAACAGGTTAGAAATAAGGAAACCTATGTACGAAGCTACCTGGGAGACGTTGGGCCAGTGACTTGCTTTGTTGCCAGAAGTCAAGACTAACATAACAGCACAAAGCTAAAATAATTCAATTCAATTCAATGTTGGGCTGCAAATATTTCCAATGATAGCTCAAGGTAGGTTAATAGTTTTTCTGATTTAAAATACTGAATATCATTATGGTTAATTAATTTAGTATAAAATCTCCTAATATTTAATAATATTTTTTCTTTGGAGAGACATGATAGCAGTGTTCCAGTATTTGCAGGGCTGCTGCAAAGAAGAGGGGGTTAACTTATTTTCCAAAGCACCAGAAGGCGAAAGAAACAATGGATGAAAACTAATCAAGGAGAGAAATAACTTAGAACTAAGGAGACATTTTCTATACAATCAATCAATGGAACAGCCTGCCTTCAGAAGTTGCAGGTGCTCCAACATTGGGAGTGAGAGAAATGAGAATTATTCCTGTAAAGAAAAGAGCAATGGTAATGCCATATCTCTGTATAACCTCAGAAACCCTGATGGGAAACATTATCAGGAATCGCGGGAGAATGTTAGCTGTAAGGAAATAATGAGGCTATAAATTTATTAGCACGTTCCAGGCCAGGAAACCAGATATCACGCTAAGGACATCAGTTGGCACGATAGCACATTCTATACCAGGAAACCAGCTGTCAAGCGAAAATTAATAGAGGGATGGCGCATATGGGAAGATTGTGCACCCAAAACTCATTTGATGCAAACCAACCAATGATGATGAGGGGCAGTAATGGGGTGGGGTTTTTGAAAGTGTATTTAAACCACATATTCATTTGCATCACTACTCTTCTGTGGCTCTACCTACATGAGCACAGAAGGCTAGCTTTTGCAAACATTCAAATAAAGCTCTTGTATTGTTCAACAGTGTCTCCTGTTGATTCAAACTGAGAATTTTAAATCTCACAGGAGCTTTTGAGAAGAGACTGGACAGCAGAGGGTTGGACTAGAAGACCTCCAAAGTCCCTTCCAACCAGTGGTGGGATTCAATTTTTTTTTTTTACTACCGGTTCTGTGGGCCTGGCTTGGTGGGCATGGCAGGGAAAGAATACTGTGAAATCTCCAGTCAGAGGTGGTATTTGCCGGTTGTCTGAACTACCTTAACTGCCTTAAGCAAGGAAATGAGGCAGGTGACTTTGGGCCAATTACTTTCTGTCTCTTCTAGGAAGCAAACAAGGGCAAACCATTTTTGAAAATGTTGCAAGAAAACTGAATGTCCATGCAGTCTGATTCAATGACACACAAACATACATGCATACTTTATGGAACACTTTCTTAGCCATCAACGTCTGTTGAAACTCATGCCTTCTTTACCTCTAAACGAAGGAATACTGTGCCTGGGGCCAGGCTTTCGGGAATTGAAACAGTATAGGAGGCATTTGTGAACACAGGACTGTTGTCATCAATATCCAGGACTCTGATTCCCAGAGTTAATGTTGTACGACGTGCATCCACGGCTCCATCTGTGGCTTCCGCAATGAGTTCATAATAATCTTTTTTCTCTCTGTTTAATTTCACCGAAGTGTAAATACTACCATTGGATGTTATGCGAAAAACATTATTAAAGTTTGCTAAACTATAATGGACTTGGCCATTTATTCCAGCGTCTGGGTCAGTAGCCTAAAATATATAAAAAAACATGCATATTAAAATTGCAAAATTATAATAGCCCATTATGCATACATCAGGATCACTTGCCTAAAAGATTTATGTGAAGAAGGAGTGACAGAACCTGAGGGTGGAATTAAAAGATCAGTGTAGAACTGGGGTGTCAAACTTGTGGCCCGCGGGCTGAATGCGTCATGTCTAGAATTAAAACAAAACTTAAAAGGAAAAACAGAAGATTGGAAATGTCTAATGCCAATTTTACTTTTTTTTAAAAAAAAAAAAGTGTATTTTTTCCTTCAATTTCTAAACATTCCAAAATAGCTATTCTGTCATTAGTACATGGCTAAAATCCACCCTTGGTATATTAATGAGATCTGCAAGAGAATTTCCTATTGTTATGAAGCAATTAGGTTGATATATTTTTTTTAGCAAATAGAATTCAAAAGAAGTTTGGATGTAGAGAGAAAAGAGAGGAAAGAAAACGTAGACCATGATCACAGGCACAATAGTCCAGTGCTGCAACACTATATTACTTTTTTCAATGTGTGCTTCATAACTATCATACACTTTGATAAAAATCACAGTAGTGTAATATTAAGAATCTTTTTGGCAACTTCACATGACATATAAGCGGGGGGGATGCCATGTAAAAAGAACATAGGAAGTTGTCTTGTATAAGTCAGATCTTTGGTTCATCCAGCGTCACACTGTCTACTCTGAATTGAAGTTCTCCAGCTTTCAAACTAGAGTTTTTCACTGCTTTGTCTACAGTACTCAGGGATTAAAGTCTAGGCATTGCAAATGGATACTTGGTCATTGAACTTTTATCATGAAATGCTACAAGAATGTTTCCTAAAAAGTAATATCAGTGAATATCTTTTGTAGTAGAATGAAATATGGATAGAGTTCAACACAGTATGAAGTTGGTCGGTCCATTTTTTCATCAGCTGGTAGAGCTCTCTACACTTTCAATTTATATCGCCGACAGTGATATAAAACCTGTCTTCATTAGTGATCTATTATTGATCTATGACTGCAAAGGTGTTATAAAATTGTTAATGATGAAATACTCATAATACCATTTTAAATATTACTGAATTTCATACTGCACAAATGCTTTTGGAACTGCAGGTTTGTTTCTCGAACTGGAATTGTATTTCTTAAAATATAATTTAATTTCAAAGAACAGGTTTGTCTTTGCTGATAGTTCTGGAAGGTGAGTATTTGATGCAGCAGATCTATCACTGTAACCCAATGATAACAAATTGGTATATTTGGCTTATTCACTTTACTAACTTATCCAGTTTGTATAGATGAGCTATAAATACTATTTTCCTTCCTCTGATTAAAATTCTCAGCGGCAGAAATCAAAGAAATTTGTCCAAGTACAGGTAGTCCTTGACTTACGACCACAATTGAACCCAAAATGTATATTGCTAAGTGAGACATTGGTTAAGTGAGGTTTGCCCCATTTTATGACCTTTCTTGCCACAATTGTTAAGTGAATCATTTCAGTTGTTAAATTAGCAACGAAATTGTTCAGCGAATACGGCTTCCCCATTGCCTTTGCTTGTCAGCCCGTTGGAAAAGGTGATCACATGACCCTGGGGACACTATAACGGTCATAAATATGAACCAAACCGAGCATCCAAATTTTGTGGAAAAGGGTCACAAATCACCTTTTTCAGAGCCATTGTAACTTCGAACACTAAACAAACTGTTTTAAGTTGACAACTACCTGTACTAAAACTATGCTTGATATCAATCACGGACTGATAGCAATAGCACTTAGCTAATGTAATATCACCTTATGCTAAATAAATTAATAAATCTTCTCTTCTCTCTTCCTCTTGTCCTCTGTCTTCCTCTTTTCTCCCATCCTTTCCCTTCCCCTGCCCTCTTCTTTTCATCCCTCCCTCCTCTACTTTTTCCTCCCCTCCCCTTCCCCTAATCTCCAGTGGTGGTATTCAATTTTTTTTTTTTGCTACTGGTTCTGTGGGCATGGCTTGGTAGATGTGGTGTGACTTGGTGGGTGTGGCTTGGTGGGCATGGCAGGGGGAGGATACTGCAAAATCTCCATTTCCACCTCATTCCAGGGGAAGAGTACTGTAAAATCCCCATTCCCTCCCCACCCCACTAACCTGCTTTCCAGCTCCAATTGATCAGCTGGAACGCTGACCATCTGGGACCTGGGAGGCAGCAAATAGATGGAGGCGGGGCCAACCAGAGGTGGTATTTGCCAGTTCTCCAAACTACTCAAAATTTCCATTACTGGTTCTCCAGAACCACCTCTGCTCATCTCCCTTCCTTTCCCTTTCCTTCTCTTCTCCTTACTTAAATGAAGACACTTTCATTTACCCAGCTAGCTCTTATGAAGGGCAGGCTTCTCTAAGACAATTCTACCTGCATATACTTATAAAAGAGCTTTCAGTTGATTTCACAAGATAAGCAATAGAAAGTCCCTAATTATCCATACTGCTGTCAAGAAGCTTTCAAAGGCATTTAATATCCTGCCATGGTGCTCAGCGTGAACAGATAATGAAACCATTTATCCTCATGGAAATCAATTAAAACTTAATTAAAACAGTTAATAAAAATCATACAGTCGTCTCCTTTCTGTACTCTATCAATACAATAGATGTTAACAGTTTCACTGTTATTTCTACTTTGCTGTTAATACATCTTTACAAACAATTTCTTAATATGGATGACTATATACATCGACTTCCTTGGCAGCTGCTTCACCAATCAGCAGCTGAAAATCAAATCAGGCTGAAAAACCTATCACTACTTTTCTTGGCCCATAGAGATACCAATACACCCAAAGTAAATGATGCATGGGTATGATCAAGAGCTTCAGTTTAGGAAAGCTTGCTGTAGATCTTCCATGGCATCAGTTGTTAGAAATGACTGATATCCAGCAGCATGTCTAAATAAGAGGTGAACTCCGAAACTTGGAGATAAGGATATATTTCAAAATAATCTAACCTTCACCTTTAAAAAGCTGGAAAACTTGACTGAACCCATAAATAAATCTTCTATCTTCATTCAAGCTAGTATTTTAGGTCAAGTTTGCCAAGACTGGTTATACTGGAAAAAGAGGCTTGGTGGCCTAGCGGTGAAGACTCTCACCTCCCATTCCAAAGCTTTAGAGTTCAATCCTAGGTAGTGGCATATATTTCTTTCCTATGTTACAAAGAAAAAATATATCTGCTGCGAACTCCATGTGGTGTCAGGAAGGGCATCCAGCCAGTAAATGCTCAGCTCCATCCAGTTGCCTCAACTCTACCCCGAATTAAAGGATTACGGGATTGTAAAAAGGGAGTTATTTACATAATTAAAATAAGATTGTTTTAAAATCTCATTTAAAAAGAGGTGGAGAATTGGGTGGAATTGATGATGGAGAATTGGGCATACTGTATTATGAGGATTTCAGCTGAGATAACACCAGCACACTATCTTTTTACTGAAGTAATATATGACAGATGTATATAAGCAAAAGCAATGTGTGTTCACAGATACTTTTGCACACAAAAGCATTTGAACAGCTGGTAGCTGGATTATAATACCCATTAGACAAGAGTAAATTTTTAAAAGATTAATTGCCAACTGAAATGTTACTGCCAAATTAAATTGCATGTTAATATGCTGTTCCTCAGTTATTAGGGAAATGAGAGTGCACACATACTTCAAAACTAGTGATTTATTGTTTATGTAACTGTTGTGTTTGATTCTGAGCATCACAGTTGAAAAACATAAGTTCAGTAAGGTTCATGAGAGATGATCTGGGAATCAAAAACTAGGTTCCAGGAAGAGAGACTGTAGAAGCTGAGTTTGGATTTAACACTATTATATCTTGTCACAGTGCATAGCATGACGAACATTCAAAATACATTTACATTGTTTGGCCCTTTTTAATTTAATCAAGGCCTGCATGAATATCAGAGTAAATCTTGTTTTCATGGTTTGGAATCTGCAAATCAATTTGAACTCTTTTTTAAAAAAACTTTATGTATCAGAACTGAGTACTGTAAAATTAAATATGTCTATATACTTCACTTCAAAATATACAAAGAATAGGAGATGCAACAAGAATGAGCAACTAATACCACCAGAGTTGCTTACAATCATCTTTAAAGAAGTAACTCATTGTCACTTATGCCCTAGTCACTTTCCATCTTGACTATTACAAGATGCTTTACGTGAGGCTGCCCTTGAAGAGCATCCAGAAGCTTCAGTTGGAGCAAAATACAGTGGCCCACATGGTTTTATGCAGACCACAGTGTGCACATGTATCATCTCTCCTGCAGAAGCTGCATTGTTTGCCAATTTGCTTCTGGGTGCAATTCAAGGTGCTGGTTGTCACCTTTAAAGCCTGTCATGACTTGGGACCAGGTTATCTGAAGGACTGTCTCTTGCTAGTAACATCTACCTGACCTACCAGAGCAGAAAGGCAAAGAATGTTGTGGGTCCCATCCCCTAGGACAGGAATCAGCTCTGGAGATGCATGTGGTTTTTTCATCCCTCTGCTTCGGCTCCCTGTTGCTGGTTGGCTCCATAATTGATAGGGCTTTTGGTTAAGACAGGTAGAAGAAAAAGGATGCTGTGCTAGGAGGAGATGCAATGGTGGGGGAACCGCCATAGACTCTGGCGGGCTCCAGAATTGAATGGGGGGCTTCCAGTTAGGACCTGGCTCTTTGAGTGTTTAAGGTTGCTGACCTCTGCTTTAGGGAGAAGAAGGGCCTTCTTTGTGGTAGCTCCCTCTCTCTGGAACATCATTCCCCCAAAGATTAGAATGGCCCCCACTTTAAAACTCTTCCAGAAGGTGCTAAAGACCTGGTTCTGCCAATGGGCATAGGGAACACAGAGTGGGATGAAGGCCATTAAATGGCTCGTGTGATGTGTTGTTGCCAGGGCGGGGTGGGTGGGTGGGGATTATTTTATTACATTATATTATTTTATTATATGATTATTCTCTTTTATTCATTTTATTGTTTTATATATGAGGTTTT